CCTACAAAGGTCTCAAACAGGATAGAAAAATTAATGAGGGATTTTTTATGGGAACCAGGAGTGGAGAAGAAAGACCATAGGGTGAGGTGGGAAGTGGTACATAGGAACAAGAAGCTAGGGGGCTTGGGATTGGGAATATCAGGAAAAGGAACATGGCATTATTGGGGAAATGGTTGTGGAGATTCCCATTGGAAAGGGACAAATGTGGACGAAGATTGTGGCTAGCATACATGGGCTGGGTGAGAATGACTGGGATCCTGGAATTTTGGCAAGGACTACTGCCGCATCCCCGTGGAAAGCCATTCATTATCTGCTTCCAGTGTTATCCCCTTGGATCAGGTACGATTTGAACTCTGGTAATCGAATAAAATTCTGGGAGCAAATTTGGGTTGGGGACCTACCCCTGAAAGACCAATTTTCCATAATTGTTTGCTTTGTTAGATTTGAAAAATGAACCCATTTCCTCCTTCTTGGTTCCTTCTGATTCTTCTTYTGGGTTTGGGTGGAATCTGGGGTTGAGAAGGGCAATAAGGGATACAGATTTGGGGTGTATGTCATCTTTGCTAACCATCCTTGAAAATGTTTTCTTAAACCCTAGTAAGGGAGACACCAGAATCTGGACCCCTTCTTCATCCGGCTCTTTCTCTTGTGCTTCGTTTTTTGAGACATTAGTCCAACCTACTACACCGCTTGGGTTGTCATTCCCGGTTAAAGAGATTTGGAGCAAACCCATTCCTTCTCGGGTTGGTAGTTTTTGTTGGGAAATTTTCCTGGAAACAGTTAACACAAATGACTTGCTTCAAAGAAAGAGGCCCAACTGCTGTTTACTTCCCAATAGGTGTATTCTTTGCAAAGCTGATGGGGAAATGGGTTATCATATTATGGTTACTTGTCCAGTTACTAAGACTGTTTGGGAGTGGGTGTTTTCCCTTTTTGGGTGTACTTGGAATCCCCCCGGAAGTGTGCAATGCTTGTTCTCTCCTTTTTCTTTAGTTGGTCTAAGAAAAGGGGGAAGATTATGTGGAGAAGCATTAGGGCTGCAGTGTGTTGGTCAATATGGGAAGAAAGAAATTCACGAATTTTTTCAGATAAGGAAAGAACCACAGAAAACCTAACAGATTTGATACTTTCAAGGGTTGCTCCTTGGCTGGAATCAATGGAGATATTCTCTGAATTCTCTATGGCAGACATGCTGAGAAAGTGGAAAGAGGTTGCTACTGCTGTTATGCATAAAAGGAACTGTAGTCCCACATGGACCCCCTCCCACCGGATTCATAAAACTGAATTTTGATGGATGTAGTTTAAGGAATCCAAGGCCCTCTAGGATAGGGGGTGTTTTAAGCAATGAGGAGGGGTATATTACTGCCATGTTCTCTGGGCCAATTGGAGAGGGTGACTCTCTTGCCGAAATTCTAGCAGTTCTTGAAGGAATCCAAAGAGCAAGAGAATTAAGCATTAGATGCTTAGTGATTGAGGGGGACTCAAAGGTGGTGATTAGGTGGCTGAAAGGAGATATCAGTGGCTTGTGGAGCTACAGCAATGAGAAGAAAAAATTTAATTGGCTGTGTAAGGACTTAGAGGTGCAATACAGATGGGTGAAGAGAAGTGCTAACTCAATGGGTGATGGGTTAGCTAAGCAAGGGGTGGCTAAGGATTCTTTGTTTTGGGCACATTTTTAGTATTTTGTTGCCATTTTGATGTTGGGGAGTTAAGATAGTTTACCTCCCCATTTTCTGTAATTAATTTACACAAGTATTATTCATTAATAAAAATTTCTGTTATCGATCAAAAAAAAAAAGAATATGTGACATACAACACAGTAGAGAACAAACTATGGATTGAGGGAAAACCATGGCATTCAAGTAGTCTAGAAACTCTAGTAGAACTATGTACGGTAGGAACATCAGTAGATGGAGAAGTGGTGGTAATAGGAGAGGATGACATACTTACAAGAATAGGAGAAAATGAAGAACCATGTTCTAGAAGAGACAGAGAGGTTGGGAGTGTAGGAATTGGAGCAGCTATCCACTTTTGGAAATATGTTTGGTGCAACAACTGAAGATGAGATAGTGCTTCTGAAGTACTTGCATTGCATGCTCAAAGTAGTGTAAAATGGACACTGATGGAGCAGGAAATTTGATAATATGTTGAAAGAAAGATTACATTTTGAGAGTTTCTAATCTGACAAAATTTAGGGTCATAGCAAATAAACCCCTTATGATCAGGACTTTATCCCAGAAAAGCACAAAAATAGACTGAGTAGATAACTTAGTATCCAAACACACGAAGCATAGAGAAGTAGTATCCGCATAAGGAAGGTGTACAAAGCTAACGTATCCAAACACACGAAGCACACAGAAGTCAGGAAGTGTTTTAAAAAGGGACTGATTTGGGGACAAGTTACCAAGAACTAATGATGGAAGAAGGCTGCCTCCACCCAGAACGTGGGGGGAGCATGGGAATCTGGAAGAAGGGTTCTCACAACACTCAAGATGTGGCCATTCTTGTGCTTGGCAACTCCATTTTGATGAGTGCTAGGATGGGATCTTTGGGTCTGTTTTCCATGATGCTACAAATAGGTAAGAAACTCTCCATCCATGTACTCTCCCCTTGAATCCGAATGTAAAGTACAAATTGTAGCATTGAACTATGTGGTAACCTTGGCTTGAAAAATTTTAAACACAGTGAAGGCATATGACTTTTTGTGGAGAAAATATATCCAAGTGTACCGAGTATGATCATCAATGAAAGTAATAAAATATCTAAATCCCATTCTGGATATCACAGGAGATAACCAAACATCATTATGTAATAACTGAAAAGGTGTTGTAGCATGAGAAGTAAAGATAGGAAATGGTAAAACATGGATTTTACTTAAGCAACCTTGCATACAAGTTTTATCAACATTCTTAGGAGCACAAGTAGATAAAGGCAAACAACCAAATGCTATAAGAGAATCAAGTTTTCGTGTAAAAGGATAGCCTAAATGATGTTGCCAAATATTCCAGTCATTATTACAAGACAAATAAGTAGTAGAAAGTAAACAAGAAAAACTAATAGTGGAAGAGGGTGAATTCTTTCAAATTCTAAAGCAAATAACCGTTCTAGTCTATGCCCCTTCCCCTTCACCTCCCAGTGCACTGGTCCTATATCAAACAACCATGTTGTGAGAAAGTGACAATATGACATGTTTAATAAGTTGACCGATAGATATTAAGTTAGCTGTAAGCTGATGAGCAAATGAAGTTAAGGGCAATTTGAAAGGGGTAGGTTGAGAGATAGACAATGATAGATCATTACAACCCACAATGTTATGTTTCTTACCATTTGCAGTAACAGTATGTCTACTAGAGGGAAGATGAAAAGAAGGTTGATCACAAGTAACCCCCGTCATGTGATTGGAGGCATTGGAATCTATGATCCAGAGATGACTAGGGGAAGCACAATAGTGGGTACACTCACTAGACAAGTCAAAAGAAGAGAAAGCCGAGGAGATTGCCAAGGACACCAGTTGCTGAATTTTCTCTTCAGTCATTACAACACTGGCTGTGCCACTCTCGGTCTGTGCACTAGAGAATGAAGCATCATCTGATCCACACCCTAATGTGTAGTTCCTTGTTATCTGTTCTCAAAAGAAGGAAAAAAGAACCATTCTCAAACATAAGTAATAAATGGATAGGAGATTATTAAATGGTAGCTAGTCTCCCTGCTAGCTTTATAAAGAATGCACACATTTGGGGATAAACACTACTTAGACCTTCTCTTTTGAAGAATATCATAGGTACTAATTTTCTTATGAAAAATTCTCCCAACAAACTTGGCCTGTGAAGAGGAGGGGGAGGGCAAAAGAACATGAAAAAAAAAAGGAGTCTGAATCCGCTGACAACACATTGCTGGCCTTGCTCATCCATCCGCGCATCAGGAGTATTGGTGATGTAAAGTACAGCTGATATTCCCGATGTGCGGCTGGGTGAATGTGGCCAGCAATGTGTTGTGGTCAGCAGATCCAAACTTTGAAAAAAGAGGGACAATAGAAGAGGCCTGAAGGATGGGAAGTTCAAAACCACCATCAGGCTTAAGAGGATCAAGGAAGACCCCCTATAAAACTTACAACAAGAAAATAGCATTAGGTTATTCAATTCTTTTAAAGCTCAAGTCTCAATCAAAACAACTAGAAAAGGAGGAAGGAAAAACAATTTAGGAGCAGGCTCCCTTTTAAAAGAATAAAGGGAAGACAAATTGAAATCAATCTTTAACAGAGGAGTCCCTCAGCGTCTCTCAAAAAATAATTTTATTTCGAGAGTTTACCTGCTATCATTTTATTATACATTTTTCCTTTTTTTTTTTGGTACATCACTCAAATCTAAAGACCCTTTTTATTGATAACAGGAAACTTTAGTAATTGTAAACAGTAAAGATCTACAAGCATTGCATACACTTCTGAGAGTATAGCCCCTACTATCTCTCGCCATAAAGCGGTTACTCCTTTTATGGGTAATGCATCTGCCGAGACTGTTTGCTGACCTTTGTACCCATTGAATTTTTACTTGTAAGTTCCTAGCCAGCCATCCTAAGCCTTTAAAGATCATTCCTATCGGACCACAATGCTCTCTCATGATTAAGCAGCCATCACCACCTTTGAGTCATCTTCAATGATTACCCAAGTTCATTTCATTAGCTTTCTACAGTCTCTGAAAAACTGCCATAAGCTCAGCTCTTGTTGAATGTCCCACTCCAATTGGGCCCAGGAATATTGTAATCACATGACTGTCACATCTCTTAATACTCCTCCCACCCCTTGATGACCCTGGATTCTCAAAGCTGCTGCCACTAAAGTAGAACTTTTACAAATCCCTTTTCTAGTGGTGTCCATGCATATCAAAATTTTCTTTGATTTAGAACAAAATCTAGAGACTTATTTTATTGACAAGTCTAAATAGATCCACAATTTGTAATGAATTTCATGTGTTTTAAGTGTTTCCATTTATTTTCTTCCACAGGCTTTTCCTGAATACAGATTTGGGTGGATAGTATCAAAATTTGAGAAGACAATTTCTCTGGAGCTTGGTAAGTAGTAGAGCATAGTGTGTTTCTGTGTAGAGGTCATCTTTTCTTACTAGTCCTATGCATATGAAGTCTCACTGTAGCAAAAAGACTCTTTTCTGTTGAAAGCTGAAACAGAGAAATACCTGAAATTCTTGCATTGTTTATGGCCTTATTCAATTATCCTTTTGTGCATTACATCCATTTAATTTGGGTGCTATTCAAATGCTTGGAGATCTTTTTCATTTATGTTTCTGTTGGTTTTGTACTTTTGTAAATATAACATAGTACTACTGGGTCTGTATCTTGGTATTTTTGTAGTATGGACTTGTGAGATTTTAGATTACATGAAATAATTTTTATGTCTTTTCTGATGATAAAAGATTGAAAGGGAAAATAATGGTATAGAATGGGTATTTGGGCTTACTGGCTCAGCAATGAGAGTCAACAGTGGTAGCAGAATAAAAGCTACTTACCAAGTTACCAAACCAAAACGGTATAAACTATCCACACCATACAAAAGAATTACCAAAAATGAGCAACTGTAACTGGATCCCAGCCACCCAACGTAATTGAAGAAGAGATGAAACACTTGACCTTGCTTTTAAGAAGAGAGAAAGGCACCTACACTATAACTGACCAACACGAGTACCTGGACCACTGGATAAGCCGGGAAGTTGTATGCAGGGATAAGAATAGGGGGTTTGGGTTTAGGGAATGCACAGAATAGGAGTGCGGGTTTGTTAGGGAAGTGGCTTTGGAGATTTCCTCAGGATAGGAATGTGGACAAAGTTGATAGTGAGTATCCATGAGCTCTTGGACAATGGATGGGGTGCTGGTGTAATGCCTAGGGCAAACTGAACATCATCTTGGAAGGCCATTAGTGTAATTTTACCTCTGTTCCTTCCTTTTATTAGATACAACCTTTGTAATGGCAACAATGTTAAATTTTGGGAACACAATTGGCTAGGAGCCTCACCTTTGAAGGATCAATATCCCTCTCTTTTTGCCTTATCAAACTTTAAAGATGATCCAGTTTCTAAGTTTCTTGTTCAATATCCCTCTTTTTGCCTTATCAATATCCCTCTCTTTCTCGTGTGCCTCGAAAACCTTGTTACAACCCTCCACTAGTGGTCTGCCTCCTTTTCCAGTGAAAGAGATTTGGTGCAAAGCTTTTCCACCAAGGTTTGCTGCCTTTTGTTGGGAAGTTGTTCATGGAAAGATTAACACCCTTGATCTACTTCAAAGAAAGCAGTCACATTTGTGTTTATCCCCTCATTGGTGTGTATTATATAAGGCTGATGGTGAGAGTTGCTATCAAGGTTAGGGATGATGTTGCTCCAAAGATTTTGGGGAAAGGAAAAGATGAAAGCAGGTTTCACCTTGTTCATGTCTCTAAAGTTTTCTCTCGACTGAAAGATGGTCTGGTTGGTATTGATCTTACTAACAAATTTAAGAAAGTCTATAAGAAGAGAGATTCAAAAGCTAAAGCTTTGAAGACAACGATTTCTGAGCTTCGGGGATTAAGGCCAAGATCTAGGAGTAGAGCTGCAGAGGACGTTGGCTTCTGAAGAAGGTTTGGAGCTGAGGTTAGAGATGGTGGATAAGGTAGAAAAGGGCGATCGAGATAGTGGGAAAAATTCACATGCATCTTCTTCAACCATTATAGGTGAGAAGGGGGAAAAGTGGAGATTAAATGTCTGGTTGACAGGGAAGTTTGGTGGGTAAGAGCTTATGTCTGTTTTTTTGGGGCGGAGAGGAGTTCGCTAGAAGGGCTTTTGATGTTTTTGAAAAAGAAAAGAGGGTAGAAAACTCAAGGAAGACCATTGATGGGGAAGGAGGAGAAGCATGTAATGAGGAAGGCGGAGAAGATGATTTAGTACCCTCTTGTTTTTTGAGCTCTTGTTTTAGTGTCCTCCGTATGTTGGGCGGGTGTTATCTTAACACCTGGAAGATGTTTGTATTTAGACTGCTTTTGTTTTTTAGTTCTAATAAAATTTTCTTTTTACTCTTCAAAAAAAAAAAGAGTTTCTATCACCTGTTTATCTCTTGTTCCTTTATTACTTCTATTTGGGATTGGTGCTTTTCTCTCTATGGGTGAGTAGAAGATCAAGACTGTAATCAGTCTTGAATCCTAATAGGTTTTAGGTTTACAAAACAGAAGAAAAGTGAGAGAAAAGAGAAGGAATAGAAGAGAAACAGGAGAAYACAAGGGGTTGAAAGGAGGGACAGATTCTAACAGATCTGCCGCYGCCAYTCTCTTATTATTTATAGGTTATGYTSAGTACATAATGGAAAGGACAGATCTGCCYTTAGTACTTACATGATAAATAAAGTAAATAAAARCTGAAATAAATAACAACTGAATTAACAAACTGACCCAAACTGACACTACTATAACCGAAACAAATAACTACATGCTGTCCTACGAACACAGTGGGGACCACTGCTGTGGGGCCCACATCAGTGTTCTCTACAGGGTGCAGGTGGAATCCCCCGGTAGATGTTCAAATCCTATTTGATACAAATACCTTTGACTGGTCAACAAAGAGAGGGAGGTTAATGTGGAGATGCAAAACAGTTGCTGTTATGAAGACAGTTTGGGAGGAAAGGAATGCAAGAATCTTCTCAGAAAAACAAAGACTTGAAGGTAATATCATTGAAACAATTAAGATTGAAGTGGTGCATTGGATGAAGTTAGAAGGAAGTGGTGGATTCTTCAGTTCATAAGCCTGTCATCAATCATCTTTGGTCACCACCGACTAGAGGTTTTGTTAAGCTTAATTTTGATGATATCAGTTTTGGTAATTCTGGACCATCAGGTGTTGGAGGTTTATTTAGAGATGAGGAGGGTAAAATCATTGCTATGTTCTCTGGGTCAGTTGGGGTGCGAGACTCCCTGAGAGCAGAAGTGTTAGCAGTAGTGGAAGGCATTCAAAGGGCAAAGCTAATGAACATTTGCATGCACAGTTTTTGTCTGTATTTAATGTGTTTTACAGTTTCTTCCTACATTAATTAATAAAATGCTTGAGTTATTGATAAAAAAACAATATAGAAGACTGTGAAGCATTAAGGAATATGTGGAGTTGTATTTTAGTGACGTATATTTGTTGTACCTTTAGATGTGAAAATACTAGGAAATTCTTCATCTGTTTTTAAGAAAGGTTAGGAAATTTTCAATCATTTTAAACCGTAGTAGAGTAGGGGCAGGGGGAGATGATGGTGGTTCCATGCAAAAAAAATAAAATAAAATAGTGAACAACCTCTAAGAAATGTACTGGAGAGGTTGGTTTGACCACTGAATGCAGGAATTAGATCAGGAATGACATGACTATCTAGGAAGTGAGCCTATTTGGTGTTATGAGCATTTAAACAAGAAAAGGGTTGGATAATAGGGGCTTTCTATTCACCTTTTGTTCTATCTTTTGTGTATGGATTGTATGGATATGGGAAGGGAAATTTTAACCATGATGTTTCTTAGCCTTAAATGACTTTTGGACACGTGGGTATTGTCATAGAGGGCCATGATGCCATTATTCTTGGCTTCTTAATAGTCTTTTTTTTTTTTTAATTTTTCCCATTGACAATTGGAATTTTTATATACCATTTTTGCCCTTTCTAGATTTTATAATTGTTCCTATATAAGAATTTGCAAATTTACTTCTGCAAAAATTGGTTCATTAAGTCATTGAACTGAACAACAATGTGATTGATGATTCCCCTGCAGATTTTGTCCAAGAGGGAAAGAATTCAGAGAAAACAGCCGAAAACTTCAAATCAAACAATACAGTCAGGGTTCCTCGTGTGTTTTGGGTAATGATCCTTGGCAAGGTCTTACACATAATTTGATTTTTAGTTGATCCAAGGGGCCATTGCTTGGTGTAAGGGTAAAATCTTGGGCAGACAAGCATGGGGGTGCAGGTTCTAATCTGAGAATTGTCACTTTCTGCAAGAAATGCCAAAGGTTAGGCCCGAATCCAGTCCACCCTTCCCAAAACCCCTGATAGCTAGGACCAACATTGGGTGCTGGCTTTTTTTTGTGCATTATTTATTTGACTACAAGTTGATAGTTTATCTTTTTTGTGTATATTGAGGCTTGTTTTATAAATCATGGGTTATAGCATGCTGATCATGAAATTATGTGCCTAGGATTTGACAACAACCCAGGTTTTGACAATGCAATTTTGCCATGGATACAAGGTATGATTCATCGAACTTGCTCGGCATGATTGCTGGACTTGACTTTCATACTAGCTTTTTGTGGCACTTTTCTACTCAAATTGATTAATAACACTTTATATGGAAAAGTAAAGTTATTTTCCTACTAGTTAAAATAACATAAAAAGAATAGGTCTTATCCAGTGTTGTGGATATAAGGGATATAAACCGGTTTAAACTAATAAATCTAATTTTGTTTAAGCGTGAAATGTCTAAGAAATCACAATTTACAATATCAAGACAGTAAAACTGATGTAAAGATGGAAAATAAATCTAGAAGGTGCGAAATGAAATAAAACAGTGCGGAACTTTTCCAGAATGTGTGAAAGGATGCAACTGTAGCTATCATGAGAATCTGTGATTAAGGAAGAAAGAAAGCTAATCGATTTGAGATTGAGGTATGTTACAGCAATGCTGTTCTTGAATCTGATTTCACCCCCTTTTGGATTATATTCACAGTGCTCACATTAATGGCATCAAGACTCCAGGATACAACAACCAGGCTCTAAAAGTTGCACCTTTTGTCAAGAAAAAAGTGAATCTCCAATAGTCTTACCTCGGAGTGTAAAATGAAGCAAGCATGATGCAGTTTGAGTTGGGTCTTTTCTCATTTACTAGAGAGGATGATAAGAAATGACGAATAAGTAACACTGCACAAGGGTCACTCCGGAATAGGAGTAATTAGGGATGGGGATGGGATCATTTGTGGCTTGTTTTCGGGGCCTATTGGGCAGGGTGACTCTGTAAGAGGTGAGCTCTTGGCGGCTATTGTTGGGGTGCAAAAAGCCAAGGAAATGGGGATTAGAAGATTAATAGTAGGAGATTCTAAAATAGTCATTGGATGGCTGAAAAAAAGAGAAGGGGTATTATGGCAATTCAGAAATGAACTCAGGCGGTTCAAGCTGCTGTCAGGAAATATGCAAGTCCAGTTAAGATGGGTGGGGAGATCTGCTAATGGTTTGGCGGGTGGCTTAGCTAAACAAGGGGTGAGTAGACGTCATTTGTTTTGAGCTCAATGTTAGCTGGGTAGTGGGGCTCTCTGCTGTATTGGGTGTTCTCTAACAACTTTTTGTTGTACTATTCTCTTTTCAAGTTCTAATAAATCTCTTTAAGTTGCTGATAAAAAAAAAACACTGCATAAAGACAAGAACCTAACCTTCAATCAAACAAAACAACAACCAAATACCTACTCCATAAAATAGGAAACCTCAAAACAAACTCCTTTTCTCACCAATCATTATCAGCACTATTAACAACCTTTCCCATCCGTAACACTCTCCAAACACTTTCCAAGATCATAAATCCCTTTTCAACTCTCATACTACTAAGACCCCCTAAATTTGAAGACTAAATTCCAATTGATACCAATCATATCTTTATCCACTAACTCCATTACTTCATTGGCTTGATGTATACTCTTTTTAGTAATCTTCTTAGTTTTCTTTACCCTCTGACTGCATTAGTGATCTTTAGAAACTCACATTGTTTTTCATCCTCAAGTTTATCAATCAAAGAACCCTGAAACCCCCTTGTAATTCCATGGCCATGGTTTTCACCATGCCTCTCTCTAACACCACTTTGTTCTTTGTTTCCCAGCAGAACTTGAGCTGACTTCTTCAAAAAAAAAAAAAGAAAAAGAAAAAGAAAATAAAAGCTTCCAACACCCTCTCATGTTGCCCTTGCTCCTCCATACTCTGTCCTTCCAAACCTCCTCTAATCTCATTTCCTCCATTTATACCTTCCACTTATAACACCTTCCTATTGTTGCCTCTCCCCTTCCAATTCTTTCTCTAATTCTTCAAAATCCTTCTTTTTTCGATCAGAAATTCTACAAAATCCTTCTTTGCAAACCCTTTCCCACAAGAAAAAGAAAAAGAATAAACCGAACATTTTACTCATTTCAAACTCCTTATTCAACATTTGTTCCGCATTAATTATCTTCTCTATTGTATGAATTTCATCTATCACAAACTCTTCTAACTGGTCATTTCCATCTATTTCCTCATCCTTTGCAATCCCATTGTCTTCTAATGGTGTCGTCCTACATAACCTTTTCCTTATATAAACTTCTGTACATATCAGGTCCAGACTGCCCTTTTTATCCTCCAAAACATTGACTTCCCCCTTTTTAACAATTCCTCACCATCTTAAGTTTTCTCACTTTGGTCCTCATTCCTTCTACTATCTTCAAAACACTTCCCTACGAATTGACATTTGTTGAAGGCTTTTTTTATTTTTTTAAATCCAAATAATATTTATACAATTTGTAACCCAAATAAGTGGGTTGGCTAGTCTGCTAGCCAAATCATCAAAACTATAAAAAAGTGTCCCATATGGGAGTTCCCTTTCTTTAAGTGGGAGGGACAGGTGTCCTTCACCTAGGGGGAGGAGGTAGTTGCATAACTACTCCATTCCCTATTTAAGCTCCTTAAGGGGAAGCTAGAGGCTCCCCCCCTTCGGAGAACTTGTGTCTCAAGAGATTCTTAAGAACAACCAAGGTAAAGAGAGAAGAAAACTGACTTAGATACTTCTTCCACTAGAAAACAACAGGCAAAGACTTGGGACAGCAGAACAAAACTAACTCCTCTGGCACCAAAGACTATACCAAGAACAAAAGGCCAAACTGAAAACGAGAAAAAAAGGTACAAACAGAAGAGAAAAGCTAATCTTCTCCATCAAAAACCTCCTTTTGGTTGTCACCATCTTCATCTCATCTCCCTCTTCCAATTAACCCTTTTTGCAAACTCTCTTCCTTCTTCTTCCTCTGAAACTCTTCCAAAGTTTTTAAGGCGAGATCCTCACCTCCCCAGAAAAACAAACCCAAACTTTTACCAATTTCTACACTTTTTATAGCAACTGCCTTGAATGAGACAACACCGGTTTTGTCCACCTCTTTTTTGAGACTTTTATCAAGTTCTCTAATGACCTTATTGGAACTTTCTTTAGGGGCCCCAACAAGATGATCATTCCCCGGCTTCTTGCCCAGGTTAGAGGCAACCTGAGAGTTCTTAATATCCAGATCTTACTTTAAAATTTTAGAGGTCTTACTATTCCTTCTTCTGTACATCCTTTTGTAATTCTTTGTAGGCCAAACCCAATCAAATCAAGCTTTAGACAGGAAAAAAATTTGGTTACATGCACAGTATGAGAGAATCTTACTCCAGCGGCTCCTCGACACTTCTTAGATGTCATAGATTCAATCCCACTCAAATCTTTCTTAACCTCCCCTCTCCTACCCAAATCCACATCTAATTTCCCAATCACCACCTCTTCGAAGACAAGAAGATCATCATCGACGTCTTTGATCTGGGATGGTGAACAAAATAAAATTCCCCACCGACAATTTTGCTTCTTTCACCTCCAGCCACAACATTTCCTGCATGGGTAGCAACAATAGACCCACTAGAAGCTATTTCCTTTTCCATCAAACCAATCCCCGCTTCTTTGTGGATCTTCATGTCGGCTCTAACAACATCCAATCCAATTTAGGAAGGGGCCTTGGCACTTGCATTAGAGTTTTGTTTTGGAGGAGCATCTTCAAGAACTTCAACTAGCTCTTTGCTACCTTCGTTGTAACCATGGCTACAGGTCGCATTAGAAGTTCTTCCGACAACAGGTCTCTCAACATCATTTAGCTTCAGCGTCTTGTGCGATCTGATAAATCTTCAATCTTCGGATAAGTTCAAAATGTGACTATTCAGCCACCTACGTTTGATAGCGTGTTTGAAGAGATTCACACTCCTCTTAATAACCCCAACCTTGGGTGGGATGCGAGACCTACTCACACTAATTGATAAAGTCCTTGGAAGCGGGCCCCACTGGAATCTCCCTCCTCGATGCATGACACCCCTTGAAGATGTGGAGATGGAGACTTTCCATCTCCCCCAATAGCTAACACCGAGTGGGCCCTACTGCCCTCTTCCTTTATTGAGCTCACCCCCAAATCATCACTCCTTTTCTAGTCTCAGAAGTCCACTAGAGCCATTGAAACAACCCCAATAGAACCAAAATCTTTTTTTTTTTTTTTTTTTGTTGTACCCAAACTAGACTCGTCTTCAACCTTTGTCACTATCTATTCGACTTCTGCTTTCTCGAACTAGAGGGATCTTGAGGATCACCTCCTCCCTCCTTACTCGAGACAAGTAGATTAAGCCAACCGCCTAGGTAAATTCCTTCTATTACCACTCTTAAATCGAAAAGTTCTCTGTCAATGTGAAGCAAAAGGGATGTTGGAACCAGATGAACTTCCTCCACGTCAATTAAGATACATGCACTTACTAAGTTCTTTCAATCCAAAATTCTTGAGTCAACGAACCTAAAAATCGCACAAGCATCTCCAATCTCCCTGAAGGTAAGGTACTCCAGGCATGAAGAGGAATACCGAACATGTCAATCCAAATGAAGCTTGAAGCCGTCACATTTCTCAGCGCACTGACAAGAGGATTCCACCTCCCTAGTCTTAACTCCGGACTCCGAACTTGATCTTGTTTGTGCTCCAGAATATCTGAGGCTTCTTTTTCACTACTGAAGGAGAAAAGAAAGAGCCCTGTGCCAAGTCTTCTCACCTAGAAGTGTCTATTTGGCTTCCATTCAATCACTGCCCAGTTCCAAACTACTTCAACATCTGGTTCAGAGTTGATGAAATAACCAACCAAGCATTTGTTTAAGAGCTTTAGATGCTCGAAAGTTCCTTTAGTAGAGTTCGATACCACTAAACTCATAAATCCATCTTCAACTCAAGCCATGCTCTTTTTTTTCCTACAGGGGAAGTTTCACTAATACAGGTAGGAAAAAGGAAGGTCCTCTCTGTGAATACTTCCTATATATGTCTTCTGCTATGTGTCCTTATTTCTCTCTCTTTTATTTTTTCTTTTGAGAAAGGAAATAGAGGGAAATAAACCATCTACAACTAGGTGCTTCTACTTGGTTGATTATGGTCCCTCTTTCAAGACAAAGTTAGGGATTAAACCATCTATAGTCTAATTCTCAAGGGCTGATTATGGTTCCCTTCAAATGAAAATGAAGAACAGAGGGATAAAAACTGTCTACAATCAATTATTCATTTTGATTGACTATGGTTCCCTTCTTCTATACAATATCCAGAGGATTAAGGCTGTTTAGAGTCAAAATTTCACCTGATTGACTACAACTTATTGTGAAGAAAGGAGTGAGAAGGAAATCTTCTTTGTATTGAAAAGAAAAGAAAGAGAAATGTATTGTTGTAGAGTTTCTCAATTGTATATTTTTTCTCATTCTTGTACACTTGATGTAAAGGAAATGCAAATGAAAAATTCTTTTTCAAGAAGTACTCTATTGTTCTTTTCTTTTGTTCTATGCATTCATTTCTCTATGTCAGAATCAAAAGGTGTTCTCTACCTTCTTGTGGAGATGTAATTAAGGGGAACGATCCCTATGATTCCCTGAATGGGCCTTACTCAAAATAATAAAAATTCAATCACTTGATTGAGTGAATTATGTTGCATGAGAATTTATTAAAATTTTCACACCAGCAACATTTACTTCATTTGCTGCCAAGATATCACCATCCAACCTCTGCCTGCTGTCCTTTGCTTCCATTGTCCCCTTGATCTTCTAAAAAATGTCCCTCACTTTTGTCACCTATTTCTCTTCCATCTTTATTTATATTTTTCCTTCCACCTATAAGATGTTCTATTGTTGCCACCTCTGTACTACAACTTCTTGCAGTTATTCCTTCTTGTTGTGCATTTGAAAAATAGAATACCTCTCTACATCTACATCTCTCTAACCCTACATCCTTTTCCTCCTCAACAACCCTGACCATTGATGATTTCTATATATTTCCTTTGATGGCTGCGCTTGCTCTTCATTTTTCTTTCATCTTTTGGCTTTACTTTTCTCACTTTTTCAGCTCTATTTCTCCACACATCCTCCCTCTGTTCTTTATTTTCTCTGCGAATATGCTCTGTGATGCATACCTTTGGAAAAAGTAGATTGTAACCTTAAGTTGAGGAGTTCAGATTTGCACCCCACAAAGCACTGCCCCATATTCACTTCTCAGTGTGCGTTGGGAACATCTCCTGTACTTGTCAATGGGAGATGCCACCGATACACAGCTGGAATATACCATTTCCCAATCTGTTTATAACACACCACTCTGATGGAGCTTATTTTCTAGCTAGGTGTGTTGTGGCTAGATCTTATTTGTGTGTGTGTGTGTGTTTTCCTTCCGAGCTCTGATGGATTCATGTTCTACTTTTTTTCAGTCTTGTTTTTCTGTCCTTTTGGTTTGGGGACCTTTTTTGTAGCGGCTTCTTGGTTTGCAAACATATGTAATTTATGTTTGGAAAAGGATTTGCACAATCAGCAGTTATAAACAAATTACTATTCCAATTTTAATGTATGTATTCAAATCTGGTCACTCAAGGCCTGAGTCAACTGCTAAATCTATGTTGAATTTATGGTTGGTTTATGCATGGCACCTTTTTTTTTTTTTCTCTAGCTATAGAAAGGTACATTCTAAATTCTACTAACAAGTTCAGCTTTCAGGTTAATGACATGGAATCTCTCAATGAAATTGGTATAAATCCGAAAAAGGTTGGTTATTTGTATGCTTTAAATGACTATGCTTTTCTATAGAGCGTCAATTTTGTTTGTTCACTGCCTTTTGGTTTAATTCTGTTGTACATTTCACTCACACAAAGCAACATAGTTTCCATTTTATTTGCAGATTACTGGCTAAATTGGTTGGTGTGTAAATATATACCATAACTTTGTGGTACACTTAATAACGGGCATGGTGGTTAGAAATGGTCATGCCAGAGAATGAGAACAATATAGAGTCTATAAATGATTCAGCCAGATTGGATGAGGATTCAAGATATAAATAAGAAAATGGATCTGAGCATACTGATCTAATAAGAAGTTGAGGTGAGGAGGTTTGGAAATCTTTCTTCTGGGAGGAGAATTTTCTCAGAAAGCTTTCTTGGAGCTGGAAGAAAAAAATAAGAAAGGAAATAGCAGTTCAAATCTGAACTGATGGTGAATTTGTAGAGGTAAAGAAGGGGCATAAGAAGTGATTTGGTATTGGGATAAATTTGGTGAGGGCTTGTAGGCGGGATGTTTGTGGTTTTGAGGTTTGTTAGTTGACTGTGTTGAAATCAGGATGCAATGAACCAAATATGTGAGTGCTGAGTTTGGTAGAGATTTTGGTTTGTTAAGGCATTAGGAAGTTTTTTAACTTTACTGGTAGGGCAGTATGATTTTCAGGCTTCTGGTGAGGATATTGGGGTCATGTTAGTAAGGGGGGTAGAATGGATAGTATAGTTTGTCATATTGATGCCTTTATATTTACCATGAAAAAGACATCTAGTGGAATGCTGATTTGTGAACCAATGTTCTTTAACTCTTCTAGAGATAGAAATCACAATAGATCAAATATGGATTGATCTTAAAATGGGGTAGTGGAAGTGTCTACAAAACAGAGAATCCCAACACAGTTATGTCTCTGAAAGCTTATCCCTTCACTATAAATTGTGTAAAATGTAGCATACCTTTAATGCTAGAAGAACTTCTAGTGATATTGGAGTGAGATACCAATATATCAAGGGTGTGTAACGAACTTTGAGTTGGGATATCAAATACCGTTAAATTGGGATATCATTATAAAAGAAAAGATTTCATTAAAAAGAAAAATAGTACAAACTGTTAAGTTGTTAAGGCAACACCTTCAAATAAAACATACTCATAAAAAGCCAAATCAAAACAAACCATCAAAGTTACAGAATTGGAACTCCAAAGCTTCCCAAGGCCTATCCCCAAGATCCACTTTATTAACAACTTGTGCAAATTCTGGAAGAACCAAAACCCAATCTGAAACAGATTTGCCAACAACCACCACCAGGCTATCCAAACTCCAAGCCTTTCCTTCTGTGTATTCCAGCAAATCACAAAAGGGTTGCATCCCAAAATCAGCCCAGCTTACTGCCCCTGATCTTTGGCTAAGAGAAGAGAATCTCTGAAAGGAGTCCTTGGATGAAAGTTTCTTACACCGAACAATGCTGTGAGCAAATTCCACAGGAATCCAGTAATCTTGCAAAAGATAAACAAATGACTAACTGATTCCCTTTGTTCTTTGCACAAGTAACAGGTGCTAGCCATACTGAAGCCTCTACTCTTAAAATGGTCCACAGTCAAGATGCTATTCATAGTGTGATCAGACATGAAAACATGAAATAAATAAAGGAAAAAGGTGTAGAAAATTCACAGAACAAGTTGGAATAGAAGTTTACAGAGAGAGAGTAACATGGAGAGAGGGCTGAAACCCAGTCAAGATCAAATTAGTCAGTTCTCAACTGCCGCCTACCTTTTTATTTCTATTAATGAATTTGAAACAAGGTTCAAAATATTGATGCGTATCGTATCTGGAGCTTCCCGATATGCCCCTACAGAGGGTGTGTTGGGGTTTTAACCGGTTCAGGGGGTGGTCGGACATTAAACCGCCCCCTGAACCGGATTTGAAAAAAAAGTAAAAAAAAACTAAAAGAAAAACTATCGTTACTGCCTGATACGCCTGTACCGGCGTGTCAGGCGTATCGATATTTTGAACCTTGATCTGAAATTAGATTGTTACCCGTAAATAAGTGAACTAATAAATAATAGAGGGAACATAAAATAAAAAAGACTAAAATACCCCTACAATAGACACTATAATTTAACATTCCCCCTCAAGTTGGAGCATATATATCATAAAGCTCCAACTTATTACAAATATAATTCATCTGTGCATGACTTAGGCCTTTGGTATAAAGGTTGGATAGGTGATCTTCTAACTTATGATTTCACCACTAACAACTTTTACCTTACAAAGTGGCAATCCGCTTCAATGTGTTTAGTTCTTTCCTGAAGCACTGGGCTGGAAGAATCGTGTTGTCACAAAGCATCTGAATGGAAGCAAGCTTCGATGGGTCGGCTGGTTATGTGTTTAGGAAAAAGTTACAGAAGGTAAAGACTCAGATTAAAGAGTGGCATCTAACTCAGTCCAGGGAGTCCAGGAAAAGAAAAGAGGAATGCTGCCTAATTATTTCTGAAATTGACAGAGAGGAAGAGGAATCCACTATTGATGAGGAAAAGAGGAAGAAGAGGTGGCAGGCTAAACAAGACTTTGACAAGCTGGCATTCCAAGAGGAAGTCCATTGGAGACAATGCTCCAGGGTACAGTGGCTGAAGGAAGGTGATAAAAGCACCTCTTTTTTCCACAAGGTGGCAAGTGAAAGAAGGACTAACACAATAAAAAACTGCTTTTGAATGGTCACTTTGTGGATAAAAGTGAGGAGATAGAGAAGGTAGTTGTGGATTTCTAAAGAAGATTTACTCTGAACCTAAGCGGTGCAGGCCAAAATTAGATGGTTTGCAGTTTTCTCATCTATCAGTTGATCAGGTAGCAGAGTTGGAAAAGCCATTCTCTGACGAGGAAGTGTTAAACGTGTTGAAGATGGGGGGGGGGGGGGGGTGGACAAGGCCCCAGGGCCAGATGGTTTTACCATCTTATTTTTTTAAAAAATTCTGGGAGGTGTTAAGCGGATTTGACAAAAGTGTTGTGGGAGTTTCACTCTTCTGCTGCTTTAGAAAGAAGCCTCAATGCCACTTTTATCACGTTTATCCTTAAGAAAGGAGCCTCCGAGCTTAAAGATTATAGGCCGATTAGCTTACTGGGGAGCGTGTATAAAATGCTTGCAAAACTCTTGGCCTGAAGACTGAGATTGGTGCTGGGGTCCCTTATTTCCTCTTCTCATGGGGGCATTTATTCTTAACAAGCATATTCAGGATGAGGTGTTGATAGCCAATGAACTAATTTATTCTATAAAGAGGAGTGGAAAGAAGGGACTTGTGTGCAAAATTGATATAGAGAAAGCCTACGACCATGTTAATTGGGCTTTCCTAGATTTGTGCTGAAAAGGATGCACTTTGGTCAAACCTGGAGGAATTGGATGAAGGTTTGTGTCTCCATGCCTAGATACTCAATTCTGCTAAATGGGCCTGCAATAGGTAACTTTGAAAGTTGTAGAGGTCTCAGGCAAGGAGACCCCTTGCCCCCCCTCCTATTCCTTATTGTCATGGAAGGGCCGAGTAAGATGATTGATAGAGCTGTGGAAGGTGGCTGCCTAGAAAGTTTACAAATAGCCAACAATGGGGTAGAAATTCCCCTACTTCAGTTTGTGGATGATACATTATTTTTCTGCAGTGCTAAAGCAGATCAAGTAATCCCTTTGAGGTATATTCTTTGCTGGTTCGAAGTGGTGTCAAGGCTAAAGATCAATTTGGTGAAGAGTGAGATGTTGAAAACTTGCAGTCCTTGGAAGACTTGTTGGGGTGTAGGGTAGGTGCTCTTCCTTCTTTCTATTTGGGGGCCAAATGCACTTCTAGAAGTATTTGGTCTTCAGTGGTGGAGAAAATGACTGGTAAGCTAGCTTCATGGAAGGCAAGGTACTTGTCTAAAGGGGGTAAGCTAACTCTTATAAGGAGTGTGTTGTCCAGTATCCCTGTTTATTAAATGTCTTTGTTTCCAATCTCCTCAGAGATAGCTCTAAAGTTGGAGAGACTTATGAGAGACTTCCTTTGGGTGGGTTGGAAAGATTCTAAAAAGATCCACTTGGTCAATTGGGTCCAGATTTGCAAGCCTATCAAAGATGGTGGTTTGGGAATCAGAAAGCACAGAAATATGGTATTCACGCAAATGAGTGGGATGCAGCTGAGTCTACCTTCTCTTACAGGTGTATGAGCATGCCTCATGCAAAAGGCGTATGAGGCGTACACCTCTTACACTTGAGGTGTATGCCTCCGAGGTATCAATGCCTTTGGCATATGCCTCAAGGTGTTGTGGGGGTGCTTTGCCTGGAGGCCTGCCTCCAGGTGTATGCCTCCCACGCCTTTTAAAACACTGCCTTGGGACATAACTCACAAAGCATTCCTACCTCACACCAATCATCTCACCAAAATCTAATTCTCGCTCTATCCCTATCGAAAAGCTAGTTAACTCCTGAATTCCTGATTGAATATCATTATTCCTTTCAACACACTCCATGAGATGAATTCACCTCCCTCAACTCCCACTCAAATGTCACCACCCCATACTTCTCCACCACCACTCTCCTCCATAACTAATCTTCCTCCTTTCGTAACCCAAATCTCCACAGCCACTTCCCAAGCAATGCCCTATTGAAGGCCCTCAACCTCCTAAACCCCAAACCCCCTCCTTCCTTTGGCCTATAGACCTTTTCCTAAACCAAATGGAACTTCTTAACTCCCCTCCCCTCCACCCTTCCCGTAAAAAGTCTCTTTGGATTTTTTCCACTCTCTTAGCAACTTCTGTTGGCACCCTTAACACAAATAATATGATGGCAAGCTCAATAAGACAATAATGAGAGTCATCCCCCCCGCCCCACCCACCCCCAAGAAATATATTTTTCTTTCCAACCATCCAATCTTCTCTCTCAATTCACTCAATTCTGCACTTAAAATCCCATAAGAGAATGGAAGCTCCCAATTCTGCACTTAAAAGCCCCAATACACTCCGATAACACTTCCCACTTCACATCAGCCACTCCTATCAACACACTTGTAGAAAAAAGTTCACTTTCTAGGAAATTGTTGTAAAGATAATCTTCTAGAAAATAGTGTAAGAATCAAAGAGAAAAGTGAAAGTTTGTAGTGCCATAAAGTGAGTGGATCACAGCCCCTCTTCTTATTTATATTAGGGTGACCATAGCACAATGTAAAATGACAAAATTTCCCCTAACACTACTTAAACCCCATCTATTGAATTGTTTTGTTAAATCGGCCAAACCAAGCCCATGGTAACTGCTTTAGGCCATATAGAGAATTCTTAAGATGACAAACCTTCCCTTCGCTGCCCTTTACATGAAAACCCAGAGGTTGCACCCAAGGCTCAAAGTATCAATACATGCTAATATTCTGGAAGGGATGCATTGATAGTTTTAATGTTGCAGTTTTTATCTTTTAGTTTTTTTTTTTTCAAAATTTCAGAGAATGGCCATTTTTGTGTTACTTAACTATTAAAAAAGGCTTTCTTACAACACCCTTAAAATAGGTGTACCGATTAGCAAAAGATATGATATGATACACGTATGTCAAAACTTTGAACCTTAGTTGCATCATATACACTTCTTCCAAGTCCCCATTCAAGAAGGCATTTTTCACATCACATCGATGAAGATGCCATCTTAGGTTAGCTGCAGATGATAATAAAATCCATATGGAATTCATCTTTTCAATAGGAGCAAAGGTCACTATATAATCTACAGCTTGCGTTTGTGTGAAGCCTTTAGCTACAAGCCTCACCTTAGACCTTTCAATGGACCAATCAATTTTCTGCTTTAAAGAACTGCTTATACCCAACAGGCTCTTTCCTTGCAGGAAGATCAACCAGTTCCCATTTGTTGTTCTTGTGTAGGGCGTCGATCTCTTCAAGCATAGCTTTAGTCCTTTATGGAGATTCCAGGGCATCTGCAAGAGATTTAGGGATAGGAACACTAAACATAGCAAAAATGTAAGCATGATAAGAGGGAAGCAAAGAATCAAGAGAAGTTTAATGAGAAACTGGTGCCTAGTGGTACATGGGCAATAGGAACATCAAGGTCATCAGTAACAAAAGGTAAAGACAAAACAATGATTCCTGATTGAAAAGAAGATGGACTAGAAAGTGGATTTGCCTTCTAAGAGTCCATTGGCACCAGTTGCTTATTCTAGTTGCTCTACACCTTGAGATGCATGCTGAACCTGCTAGCAATAACAAGAATGAGAGAAAACACAAAGAGGATAGAGGACTTGCTGAGGATGAGAGAGACTGAGACCTAGAAACAAAAGGAGAAACAGGTGTGAAAACTGAATGAGATACAGGAAAATAGAACCTGTCTATCATCACCACAAGTCTCCCCCTAAGGGGAGGTAGGAAAATGGGACTCAAATTCAATGGAGGTAACATTCAACAAGGCATAAGACTTAGATGACACAAGGTGTAATAGTTGATTAAGTATGCTGCTATAGGAATTGCATCGCCCCAAAACCTCTTTGCCATATGCATCTGCAGCAGTAGACATGGAGCCACTTTGAACAAGTGTCTATTCTTCTGTTTTGCTACACCATTTTGTTGAGATGTCTGAGGGCAAGAACTGTGATGTAACACTGCATTATTAGCAAAGAATTTGATCAGAAACTGAGTATACACCATATGAGAGAAGTCTTTAATTACTTGTGGGGCTTCTTCATGTGAACAAAGTAGATATCTCCGTATGTAGAAATAATAGAACCCATAATGTACTGATATCCACCATCAGTTACAATAGATGCAGTGCCCCATACATTAGAATGCACAATATCAAATAAAAAATCAGTTTTTTTTTATTATTAATTGGAAATAATGTTCTACAGTGTTAGCTTAGTTGACAAGTATGGCATTGAAACCAACACACAAGCACAGACTTGAATAGAAAAGGAAACAGACTTTTAAAGCTTCAAAGGACATATGTCCCAAATGGAGATGCTACAAGAAACCTGACTCTAACGTTACTATCACAGTGATGCAGAAGAGTTGTAGAAGAAGAAGACTTTAGCCCAACACCAAAGACCATCCGTCATTTAACCTCTGCCATTTATCCTTCTCTAAGCCAAATTCTAAAAAACACATGAAGTGGGTAAGGTTACATTACATTGCAATTTAGTGATTTGGTGAGACTACTGATATACCTGGAAATGATCACTGCTAGTTGATACAGGTAGACCATGCAAATCAAAGTATCGGACATCCCATAGCTATTTTTTGTTAATGGAGAGCAGATTGCTCCTTTCTTAAATTGTCTTGGGTTTATTTGAATTATAGGTTGCCAAGGCATTAGTGGAAGTGTTTGCCGAAATGATATTTGTTCATGGTTTTCTGCATGAAGATCCACACCCAGGCAATATATTAGTTTCTCCAGAAGGCCGTAATGGATTCTCTCTAGGTATGTGTTCAAGTGATGACCTGTGTGGATCTATATTTTGATTTTTAATATGGATATTATTCCTTGAAGTTGTAGTCTAATGTACTTGTAATTGTTTTGATATAAAGTTTCTCTCTGAGCATTAGATGTTCATTTTTATTTCATGAATGAGAAATAGTTCTTCTGGATCATGGACTTTACAAGGAGTTGGATGAAGCATTCAGGCTGGATTATTGCCAACTGTGGAAGGCTTTGATTCTTTTTGATTCAAGCAAAATACAGAATATAGGTGAGCGTTTTGGTGTTGGAAAGTACTCTAGGTACTTTCCTGTTATTTTCACCGGAAGAACCATTGACAGGTATTTTTGATATCCTTTTTCTCTTTGTATTGAGTGTAAGGGGATTTGGAAGAATTTCTAGTATGGAAACTGGAAAAAGAGAATATTACAAACGTACAACCTTTTGCATCCTATGGTCCTCCTTTTATGTATATAATGTTATATAAGAAAGAATGTCTGTAGTTGTGTTTGATCAACACCAAATGAGTATATCAAAAGTCCTGAAGGACAGAAAATGGAAAAACTCGTCCAAACTTTTAAGTAGAAGCAAATTTATCAATTAAAAAAAATCAAATAGAAGCAAAAAAAGAGAACATTGCATCATATGATACTTTCCAATCAAGGGACCACATAATCACATATCTGCTTGAGTTATAAAATAAATATTATGGAAGCCTGGCATGGAGTATTATCAATTTTCTTTTCTTTTCTTATTTGTTTTTTTTTTGTGATCAGTAACTGTAAATTATTTATGCATACGATAAAAGTGAATATACAGAGCAGTTATGGAATGGTCAGCCTTGGCTAATCATCATAGTGTAATTTCATTATCAATTATGAATTCCCCAGAACTGCTTCCTTGTCACCTCTTGTTTAGCTAGCCCATCTGCTAAGCTGTTTATCAGACCTAGGTATCCACCTTATGACTGCTCCCAAACTCATTAATTCTTAATCTTCTCTGATTTCCAAGGGCCCTCTTCATTGCTTCCCATCCAACCTGTTTTTTTTTATCAATAACTATACTGGTTATACTGAAATAAAAAAAAATAAAATAACTATACTGGTTATATTATATTATACATATCCAAGATAAAACATGTGAGAGAGAAGCATCCTGCAATTGGAAACAGATCATAAGCACTGAAAATGACCCGATATGATACAAGGACTGCTGAGACACTAGAGTGAGAAAGGCATGTTCAGGTGATGGAGGTGGAACAACTTATGTTGTTGCATTGCCTACAATCAGGATTCAGGAAGCCCCACCTTAATTGAAAGTTGAAACCATCAATTTATCCCTTTAATTTTTAAGGTTCGTAACACACAGACAGTGGGATGATGTCTCCCCTCAGTGTTGACAAGGTTCCCTCTCACAAAAGTTGCCAAAACTTTCCCAGTTGGTTTCATTCCCATGTAGGCCGAGATACTAGGATGCTTATGGTACGTAGCATGGTTCTCATCAAGTTCAGATTCAGTATCAGGTTCCCATACAATAATATTTGCATGGCTTCCAACATGCAATAGCTCCCTTCAATTGCTGGTCTGCAAGTTTAGCTGGTCTTTCACTCCACCATGAAGCTGATTGGCTCAGTGATTTCATACTTTTCTCCATAAGACCATGCCACAGGAAGAACAAACTGCAAGGATAGTATGCCACCTTGTGCCTACAAAAAGTCACCCTCGTAAAAAAATTTGAGGTCTGACACTGTTGGGGAATGATCAGAACTCAATATGACAATGTGTCCTTCCATCATGGCTGTCCATTGTTTTTCTCTATTATTAGCATCACAAATGGGTGGGGCACATTTAAAGCAAGAATCACCATCATGAATCTCTTCTGCAGAAAATGCTAGATAATGGGGGTACGTTTCAACAGTTATGCTGTCACCACTGCTCTCGTCTCCCTTAATAGGATCCAAGGAAGCTGTTGCATCTGACAAATGAACAATGTGTAGATGAGCTCCCTCTGCTTGGCTCTCACTCCTTGTGTCATTTGTTTGCTTTTTTTGACAAGTAAAAATTGACTGGAATCAATATTGATAAGCAACGCTACAAGCATCTTTGCTTCTCTTCCCACCCACCGTATAACCAAATTTATATTTCTTGTTAACCATTTGAACTACCACCTTATAACGCCATATTACTAAATCTGGATCCTTCAGCCAGCGCACTACCACCTTTGAGTCCCCTTCAACCACCAAATACTCAAAGTTTAACTCTTTTGCAATCTGAACACCTTGTAAAACCACAATCTGAACACCTTTGAGTCCCGACTTCCCATTGGTCTTGAGTAGAGTGCCACTACATTCTCTTCCTTATCTCTTATGAGACCTCCAATTCTAGAAGGGATTGAGTTACCTTGGCTACTTCCATCAAAATTTAATTTCAAAAAACCTTCAATAGGAGGTATCCTGTCAACTAGGGATGCAAATGGATTGGATCGACTTCGAATTAGGGTATATCTGAATCCGATCCAACACTGCTCATGGCGGATCCTTTCTGATTCGAAGACCCGATCGGATCTGAGAGGCAAGGATATGAATTCGAATCCGATTGGGAAGTCAGGTCTTTGGATTTGATATGATCCAATTTGTTTTCTTTAAAAATTAATAAATTGTTAAAACAAAAATAAAATATACCAATTTAAATAAAGAAAAACAAAAAAATACAAGTATTTCTTTTAATTATTTTCATCATATATACATGTTTTTTATAAAAATAAATAATATAACAAATTTACAAAAATACTATATAAATAATATATTTATAAATAAATAAATAACATGTATATGTACTATATATATTTAAATAAACAAATATATATATATCGGATTGGATCTTCTTGGATCGGATTCTATTATCTGATCCAATCCGAAGATCCAAAGGGGTGATCCGAATTCGACCAAATAGGATTGGATCTCGAATTGGATTGGATCATGATCCGATCCATTTGCACCCCTAGTGTCAACTAATTTCTCCAAATATCATCAGAGGAGAATTGGCCATCTAAAGCTAACAGCCAATGTATAACTGTGAACATTACACAATCCTTAATTTGTTGCTTGCTTCTCTCTTCTTGGAAGATACTAGCATTTCTTTCCCATAAAGTCCAAGTCACTGTGCTTTGGTGCACCTTACCTGCACCCAAACAAAGAGAAACATCAATACCAAATTTCTGTAGCAATGGAACAGGACATTAGTATGTGGTAACAAGATTCACCATTTGATTTACAAAGAGCACAATGGTTTGGGGAAATTTGCAAAAAAGGTCTCTTCTTTTGCAAGTGATCCAGAGTGTTTACTTTCCCATAGGACAAGACATTAGTAAGTGGTAACAAGATTCAACATTTGATTTACAAAGAGCGCACTGGTTTGGGGAAAGAGCGCACTGATTTACAAGATTCAAGTGATCCAGAGTGTTTAGTTTCCCATAGAATACTTCCCAACACAAAGCACTAATTTTAGGGGGAATAGGTTGACACCAGGCTTCCTTAAAGGGGAAAGATTGAGGGTTAGGGGATTGATAAAGGACATTAAAAAAAGAGGCACAAGAAAATCGACCTTTAGAACTTGGAAACCAAACTCTTCTATCCGGTTTAGAAGGCTCCAAACAAACTCTACCAAGAAGATGCAAAAGCTCTGTCATGGAGATGGATTCCTCATCCCTCAACCCTCTGTGAAACCCAAAAGCCCAATTATGGCATAGAGTCAATAAAGGGGGATTAGAAATTTCGAGATCACCTCTTTTTTGTTCAAGGAAATTTAATACAAGGAAACAAATCCTGTAGAGGCAAGTCGCCAATCCAAACATCTTCACAAAACCGAATTAAATTCCTTGAACATAAATTATACCTGATATACCTGAGAAAAAGAGGAAGGATTCCATGAATTGCTTTCCAAGGTGTTGCCAAAGTAGCCCAATGTGACACACTAGCATTCTAGCCACTCTCCAACCTTCCATGAATACTATCCATCATGTCATGCCATAAAATTTCCCTTTCTAATGGCCATCTCTGGAACCACTTTCCTAACAGAGCTATATTCTTCTTCCTGACCAACCTGTTATAACCTTTGAGTCCCCTTCAATAATTATATTTCTGTACCTTTTAAGTTTCACCTTTTCAACCGACTTTAGGCTTTAGCTACCACTCAAATCTTTGCATTGTGGAGGTGATGCTTCCTTGGATATTGTACAATTCAAGGTGATAATGTATTTTGACCTGCCAATGACAGTTGGTGTTACTTACATTGTATCCCAGCTAGGGGCTGTAATTTGGTAAATAACTGATGCCAATATTGGTTCATCTTCAGGTTTTAGTGATATTGATGCTTCTCTAGCCATCTGAGTTTTCATTAGATGCTTGGGTGGTAGCCAAAGGTTTCCCTCCAGTTAAGAGATGGTGGTGACAGGGAGCTTGGAGAAGAAGATTCCATTGCAAGGGTTGGTGGAATGAACTAACATGGAGGCTATCAGGAGAGGTGTGCCTCTCTCAGCTGGTGATCACTTAGGTGTGGATGATTCACATAGTGTGGATTGAATTTTGGATTTTGAATCTGCTTATTCCACGACTTACCTTTTTGGAGCTAGTTCCCTTTGACTGGTCTAAGTTAGATGATCAAATTGGTCACATGTGATAGACCCTAGTGACAGTTGGGTCTTTGGTTCTGATGTTGGGACTGGCCCCAACTCCCCCTCATTGCTGTGATCCCTGTGTCTTCAAACTGGAATCAATTGAAATCAATTATTGGTCTTTGGGATGAAAATGTCCGTGTGGCATTTGAGGAATATCTGGGTTCCCTCAAAGGGCATTAACGGGATTCTGAAAAGAAAGCATTAAGGGTTTTTTTACTGGAGATCATATAAAGTGAATTTCTCTTTCTTGATGTTTCAGTTAGGTCTGTCTGATGTCTCTTCTCTGAACGAGGTTTCTTGCTGTTGTCTGTAAAGCCTCTTGCTCTAGCTACAATATTATAGAAAAACAACCTGCAAACAGAACCATTTTTCCCTTCAGGTCTTCAATGGTTCAATCATCTGGATCAAAGAGGTCAACCTGTGATATCATGAATATAATAAAATATTAACAAAACTGTAGAGCAAAGAGTTAATCAGTTTGTAGCCCCACTAGTTTATTATTTTTTTATGTGATTTTTCTGTTAGCTCTTTATTTTTCTGATGTTATTGGCAGCAGAGCTATTCTTGCCATTGTAATCTTTTGTTTTCGTTTAATGTAAATAGCAACCTGTGGGGCAGCAGAACAGAATAGATTTCTGTATCCCTTTTCTCATTCTTTCTTCTTCTC